TACAAACTTCCTTGATTGAAAGGGTTGGTTTACGTTCCCATCTTCCAACTTAGCCCAACTGCTAATATTACGATTGGAAGGCACCCAACTACCTCGAGAGATATGCCATGCATATTCGGCATTTCACTGAGTGCACAAACACACGGGACTTTATTGGTTCTTTAAAAAAAAAAAAAAAATTTCTTTTAAAGAACAAATGCACTCATGCCAATCATAACCTGAGTGCAAACTTGACTAGATACAGGCAGCATTTCACATTAACTGAAATATTTATGTTTGCTCATTCATCTACTGATCGTCTATAGACTTCTTAAAGAAAAAGTTCTTCGTCCAATGTGATATTTTATTCAAAGTCCATGGGCAATGTGTATTCAAATTCATTTCTCATTTTCAAAATAATATATAATCGTTGTTAGCGCACAAAAAAAAGTACATGCATCACTGTTACTTTCCTTCACTTTGCTTGATTGTTTGGTAAGAAAATGATACATACACCTTCCAAATACATTTTCCAAAAGTTACACACTCTGTTATAATCGTTAAAATTAATGAAAACCGTTAATTTTAACGATATAAATAATGAAATCGTCAATTTTAACAGTAAAAGTAATAAAAAATTTCAATGTTAACGACACATTAACAAATATCGTCATATATATTTTAGAGGGTGTATATATTAATATCCTTGTTTCATATGAAATGTATGATTACAAGCAATAAAGGATGATGAAAGATTTGAGGTTTTTCTTTAGTTTAGAAGATAAATAGAGTGATTTTGAATAATGACGACACAATGATCAATCTATATATGTCACTTTCTCTTTTCTTTTTTAATAGTTTTAATTTAATTTTTTAACTTTCTATATATAAATTTTAAATAAAAATTTAATAACTTATATAAACACTAATTGAATTTTTTTTTCCTTTGTGTCGTTTTTGTTGAGATTTCTATTCGATAAAAAAAATCAATTATCATTTATATAATATGTTAAATTTTTATTAAAAATTTATGTCTAAAAAATTAAAAAGTGATTATAATTACTAAAAATAAACAAAAAGAGTATTTATTATTTTAGAAATGTTTTTTTTAGCATGAAACGTATAAAAAAAATATAAGCTGGATGTTACTGTTAATGAAACTTCTTTCCATATTTAGTAATTTCAATACGCAAATTACTTTTTTTTTACTCAATTTGTGCTGAAAAATAACAATTTTTTTCTTACTATTGTTTTCTATTGGATCACTCCTATAACATTATTGTTAGCTAATATCCATAACTCTGATTAATTAAATTTCATATTCCCATAAATAAAACTCTGAAATTACAAAATTTCATTTCAAAATTGTCAACAAATGAAATTTAATTCCTTCCATCGAATTCAACTTTTGAGTTCAAAGAAATTTTGTATCATCATGATTGACATTCCTAACTTGGGCCACTTTCCTCTTTCGGCCCAGACTAAATGTCAAATAGTTATGCTGGTCCAGCTTCTACTTACCCAGAATGCTAGAACTTGGACCTGGCCCTATTAAAATAAAATAGAAAAGCAAAAGAACTTTTGGGCAGCGTATCTAAATTCATATCCATGTCATGTCCTGTAGGGGAAACAGCAGTACATTGGAATGGTCACACAGTCATTGTCCTGGACCACTTTCTGAGACAGAAATGAAGTTGAGCCATGTGCATCTCTATTCAATCCAATCATTGATGAACAAATTTTACGTTTGTTCTTCACAGTTACCACCTTTTCCTATCCACCTGAAATTTGGACCTACACCCCTTGCCGACAAACCTTCAATTTGGAAGGTTTAAAAGTGTTTAGCCAAGTCACGAAGCCCAAACAAAACCTTCTTGGTGTTGAGAATCATTTCACTAGAGTCTAAATTTTTAGGTTCTAATCGTGTCGTTTGCAATTGGATGTGTTGTTGCTTAATAATTGAGCTACAAATTCATATACAGATGTCAAGGAGTGCTATGTGTGTAGTGTGAGCCCAA